ATTAGGGAAAACGGCGAGTTCGAGTTGCCGCCGATTATGCAAACTTGTCACAGCAAATGTTTCGCTGTTCTGGGCCCGCCCTGTTTTGGCATTGACCAGTTCCAGCCAGGTCAACGCCCCCAGGAAGGGGCCCCTCTGCGCAGGAACACCAGGCACACACTCTAAAGATAATAATGAGACAGTGTTTGAAGGAGCTTCAGAACAGCAAGTCGTGGCAGTAATAATCCTCGCTAATGAAGGATGACTGAATGCGGTTCCCATTGAGATGAACGTGTGTAAGCCATAGAGGTCGGGGCGCGCGCCTCCCCCTCCCCCTTCTTTTCCGGGTGCACTCTGCCAAGCGAGAGGTGGGGGTGTCTGGCAATGTACGATCAGGGTTGAGGGTGGTTGGAGGCACAAATGGCGTGCACCGTGCACTGCACGCAATAAGACAACAAGTGAAAAGGAGGTGTCACCCCGCTGGTGGCCCCCGCGAGCCCATACTCACTGCATGTCCTCATCCTGGTTGAACACGGAACTGTTGTTCTCGCTGCTGCTGTCGTCCGTGCTCAGGCTACGGCTCAGGCTCTGGTCGGCCTGCCCCGTACCGGCCCCGGCAAAGTCCTTGTGGCTCTTCTTGGCTCGTTTCTGGAGTCGGAACGCGTTGTAGATGACTGTCGGGGCGCAGGCCCAGCCCATTTTCAGCAGGGCTCAGGCAGGCCCAGCAGCCCGTGCTGAGTGCTCCTCCGGCTGCTGCTCCAGGCTGGCGTCGCTGCTAGTCTCCGCGGCCGGTGGGGTGCACTGAGCCCCCGGCAGCTCGACAGCCCGGCCCCGGCCCACCCTGTGCAACGCCCTTGCGCACCCCGCCGCGCCCCGCCGCCCCGCCCTGCCTCACCCTCACCTCCGCCTTCCGTCTTTGTGCTTTTGCCCCGGCTGGGATCCCCTTGGTTCCCGGTCTGCCCGCTGCGCTCTGCCGGGACGCGGGACTGGCGTGGCGGCCGCGGACGCACATCGATCTGAATCTCCGTCTGGCCTCCCCTCGCCCGGCCCCGGCCAGCATCCAC